ACATTTCGAGCGTTAGCTCTTCGTCGGAGCGAATAGAGGAATTGTGGGTTGTGTGTGCTTTTAAAGGAAGAAAATGGAGCTACGTTATTGGTGGGAACATGGCAACGAGAAAAACACGAACAAATTAGTGGAATGAAAAGCGTTCGTTGATCCCTGTGGGATTTAGACTGCCGAAGTAGCCATATGCAGAACTTTGGTCGCCAAAGAGCGCGACTATTAGGGTGATTTTTGCTTCACAGCGAGAGATGATTACACTGTACGTGAGGTTATGAATTGCGAAGATGTTTGTTTAAATTTAAGCAAATTCCTTCTTATGAAAAATCACCCTTACAGTGCACCAGAATGCCCTCTACAAAAACCCACTGAATTGTTGGATTCTGCTCCACCCAACTAGTTTACAACATTTTTGGTAAATGTGTAATACTTATGATGCTTTTGATGATGTGTTTCGTAGATAAATCGGTTTTTGGAGATTCTTTTAGTAAGTGAAGTTAACTCAGGGAACAGATACAGGGTGTTTCAAGATGACTGTGACAATACAGGATCTACCCTGCTGCACTATGCAGCAGAGCTTGGCTTTTTACAAGTCACCAAAACACTTGTGAGGAAGTATCCTCAGCTGATGACCATGACAACAAAAGATCAGTTGGAACCTGTGAAGAAAAGAGCCATGTTACCAGTGGAATTGGCAATAGAAGCAGAGAAAGACCATGTAGCTGCTTTTTTGATCAGAGTAATTTCTAATGAAAGGTAGAAACACACTTAATATGTAAATAAACATGCATATAATTTCTACAAGGTAGAAGTTAAGGTCCAACAATTTATCATTTTTCCAGTCATTTGAGCATAAAGATGAATGAGGTTTCAGTTTTCAAATGAATAGAATTCTTTTCTTGATGAAGACTGGACAAGAGAGCTTTGTTTGAGAAACTTGATCAAACAGAGCTCTAGAAATTACTTTTGAAATGATGAGTTATTTTGTCTGTTTCTTTCAGTATTCAAACCTTATTTTCTTGGACACCAGGCAAAGTAACCAATCCTAAACCATCGGTCTTCAGTTTCAAGGCAATTATTGAGAACCCCAAGATGACGGTGAGCTTGTTGTTATGGCATACAGTCAAATAGACCTTAGATTTACTTTTTGATCTGGTAATTGGATTGTTAGGTTATAAAAAGTTGCTGATGCATCCTGGAGTTTAATATGCATAATACATTACATAGGCGCTCAAAAGTACCATTTTTAATAAAAAAAAAAGTAATGGGGAAACCATTTTCTTTAACTAATTCCAAAACGTGATAGGGAGGGTGGTGCTTCCATTTATATTCTCTCTTCTGAAGCTCATCAATAATTATTCTGAAGCCAGTTATATATCTAACGTAAGTAACACTTCTGCACTAAACCCTTTGATTTTGTTTTGAAAATTTGGACAACTTTCCATCTAGAAACTCTTTAGAGAAGTGAGTCTGGCATTCAGGTGAGTGAGGGAATGACTACCCAGATGCCAATTACTTTCTCTGCACACTTACCATGTTCGTAGGACAGAAAAGACTATCACCATAATCTACATCATTTTTGTTGTCATCATCATCATTAATGTAATCATCTTCATCACTATCATTGTTATTATTAATAATTATTAATAAGATGTTATTATTATTATTATTATTATTATGTTGTGGCATGCAGCATTGTGGTAAAGATCAGACTGAGTATTACTGTTTTGGTATTATAATTTTATTATTTTTCAATATCTTTTAACTTACATGTTCAATAGAACTGTTTTAATGAAACATGTCATTGTTTTGCATACAGAAAACAGTAGTGGCTGTATTAGACCAGATGATGAATCCTCAGTGGCCATATCTTCCCCAGCGACAAGAAAACTATGAAACTGAAGAGAAGAGGGAAGCAATTGAAGGAGTCTGGAATACAATTTCAGATGATCCACTGATCTATCATTTTTATTATCACATTTTGGATGGAGATGAAGGTGGACGACCCCCAAAGATTTTGGCTTCTGATGGACACCAGCAGATAGAGAACAAATATTTTAACTGGAGAGGGGATTCTTGTTTACATGCGATTGCAAAGAGCAACAACAAGGTAAGATTAATCTAGAGACAGTCAAACCTATGGACAATTTCTTGGTGAAATATGTAAAAGCACCATTACTGAAATACATTGAGATAAAGTAGAAACATTGATATAGATATAATTGTATCAATTACGTACTATAACAGGAGTTTGAATCTTAGATCAATCTTACACCAAAATTGTTTTGGGCAGAAATTAGTTATTGATTGTCATTTTTAGGAGGCTTTGCAACATCCTGTGGTCAGAATGTTGATCAAAACAAAATGGAGAAGTTATGGGCACTTTTTCCTCAGGTAAATCAATTGTGTTTGCAGGCTTCATACTGTAAATCTGAGAAGTTATTCACATACCAGTAGGTATTGAATTATGTATTGATGTATCTCTAAGTACAGGTAACAAATTGAAGACAATTTTTATTTAGATTATTTATGCCACTGCACACATAATAAGCACGTGAAAGCACTTCTCTGCAGTATGATTAAGTCTCATTATAGTTTAGCCTGTAGTGCAGGTGTCTTATCAGGGTGAGTTAATGTTAAAAGCGTGCCATTATTTATTTAACTGGCCATGTTTAACTAGGTGTCAGACTTGATGGTAGGGGGGGGGGTGGCCGAAGTGGGAATGGGCACACCCCCACACCAGCCCCTCTCCTTACTTTTGATTGTCACTCAACCCCTTAGTACAGATTTCTTTCTCTCCCCAACCTTCTGTTGCCATTAAAATCAAAGATGGCAGCCATATTTTGCTAAGAAAATACTCAGCACTGGTTTGCCCAAATTACACCTGCTCTGCAGGCTTATTATAGATTTTGTGGACAGTGTAAATGCACGATACTGTCCAAATTTCAAAGCCTTTGATTTCTCAAAGGTTGATAACACTGAGAACTGAGTATTAGACACTGTTACCAAAAACTTAACGTTTATGTCTATATTTTCATTTCCAATCCCTTGCCCTTTATCCATTTTACTCCAGCCTGCAGAGGTAATCGATTTAATTACTTTTCCTTCTTTATAGCCTTCAAGCAGCATTGTTATGCATCTTCTTGCTGTTCATGTCATATTCTCTGCTGCATGCTTCTACCAGATGGGACCCCACCCAGTACAGTGGTGCACTGGACTCGCTGCGTGGATTCTGTGAGGTTTTTACCCTACTTATGGTTGTTTTCTACATCTGTGAGGAAATAAATCAGATAAGAATGTAAGTAACCATGGTGATCAAGGGTTACTGCAGAAATTTCATCAAGATTTCCTACTTGATGCAATATTTTGATTAAAGACACCACGTTTGAAGAAAAAAATAACATCTCAAAAATTTTAAAAGATGAGAGAAGTCATGGAATTTGTTTGTTTGATTTCTTGCAGAGAGGGGCGTTCTTATTTCACAGAATGGATGACCCTGTTTGACTGGTTAGGCCTGTTGTTGATCTAGTGTATAATACCACTACGATACGTGGATCATAAAGCTCAATGGATGGTGACATCTTTGGCCTTCTTGTTCAACTTCATGAGGATCTTTAAGTTTTCATGTGTGTCAAGGTAACCTGCAACTCGCAATTGATTACTTTAGTTCGGAAGGAGCACTGATGACTTAAAACTCATCCCTTCGTCAATCTGACCTCAATCTTATACTGACACTTAGCCAAGCGTAAACTGAGCGCTGTACTTGAAAGTTATAAAATCTCCTCGGGATCGCTTAGCAGTTCTTCTTCGATATATTATAGTTCAGATTGTATAGGTGGTCTCGTTTTCTTAGATTTTGAGAACAATTTCCGATTGCTGGTCATTAGTTATTAAAGAACCGTGATGGGCAGTCGACCTTATTTAAACGTGAGATCAATGACATTCTTTAAGTCTAACGCGCGGCATTCACCGAAAACAGCTTTAGTGTTATGGTATGTAGTTTTCATTTTAAATATCTTAGCGTATGTGATATGTATTTTTATAGGTTGATGAATTGATCGTGTTTAAATAAAGATAAAATAAAATAAAATAAAACCTCACGCAATTTCTAAGTATTTTGAGTCAGCGCAAACCGAGTGCTATATATGAGATTTATGAATCACTTCGGGATTATATCTTTCGCAGGACTACAGGATTATACACACAAACCTTGGCCAAGATTATTTTACATGACGTCACACGATCCATGGCAGTTTTTGTCGTGATCTTTTTCTCTTTCTGTGGTGCATTGACTTTATCACTCTGTTACTCCGGATCCAGGGAAAACCAGGAACTTCGCAGGTGCGTCTCTGTTGAGTATATCTCCTTAACAACGCTCTGAAGTTGTACTGGATAGAATCAAGGCTGTGGTTTCTTTCAAGTCAGTGAAACTTCTATTGGAATTAGTTTGATCTGCTCTTTACTGGCTAGGTTATGCATTTATTCAAACTTTTCTTGCCCTTTTTAAAGAGCAATTTACTGATCCGGGAGCTTGGATGGTAAACATAACGCGTGTGTAGTGCAAAAACCTAAGTTAAACATAGTAATTTTGATTTTAAATGTTGCTTTTAGTGGTTTTGGAGACGTCTTGTTGAGCGGGTTTCGTGCTCTGTCCGAGCAGTATCCGATGGTGGAAGATTACGCTACATTCAAGTTAGTGACACTATTTGTTGATGCCGTTACAGTACTGTTATTAGCACGTAACAACTGCTTCCATTTGTGTAGTAGCACTTCAGAGAAGCAGATCTGTAATAGAGAATCAGGAGGGGGGCATTGGGGCCTCTGGGAAACCGCAAAACCGGAGAAAAAAACCTCAAAAACCGAAAAACTGACGAAAAAAGGCAGCAAAACCGAAAACCGCATGTAAACCTGACAAAACCGCTACATTTTCATCTTTAAATGAGTCAAAAAGGAAAAAGCGAAAACCCCATCAGAGTTTTCGTGAAAACCGAAAACCGAATGCAAAAACACGTAAAATCCGCAAAC